TAACATCAAGCGAAAGAACAGGGTTGGCACGTGGAACGGGCAAGCAGACAATACAACGGGGCTTGAAAGCATACGAATTGACCAGTAGCCGTACGCCAGGTGGTATTGAAACGTGTGGCGTTGTGGGAAAGAAACCTCGGTTTTTGGGAATGAGCAATAAAATATTGGGGAATTGGACTTAAACCGTGGTGGCTAAATTCACATGGGTGTGCATGCAGGGATAAGTTTTGGGTTTTGTCAGAGTTTGAGCAGGGCACCGCCGTACGTGTTTACGCTGGCACGCCGTTCTTGGCTACCGCTAGTTTGCGAGAGCTGAATGCAGCATTGACACTTGAGTAGCCACCGACCGGAACACTGAAACACCAAGACCAGAAATGGCACTGACTGGGAGCGTAGAAGCTTCACCGTCCGCAGTGTTCGGGCTCTTGTACACTCATTATCCGTTAACTTCACTGAAACTTACCTTTTATTCAATGTGTAGTTCCATGACAGAAACCGTCCGCGTCGAGAGGATCCGAGATGCCGTAGCTATATGAACCTATCAACACGTTTCTCGTGTTGTCCCGGCTGGGCAAAGACGAAGGATGACCTCTCTGTTGAATGGCTGACCTTCACTTCTCACAACACAACTTCATTTCCCTTGGCAAACCACCTTAATCAGTCGCTCGTTGCAACCGTGACCCTTATGATCATAGGGTACATAAGGTCAATACTGTATTATCAAGAATTCATCTCCTCCGTTTCACCGGATGGATGTACATTTAGAAGGCATTTCGGGATCTTTTGTGTCGTTTCTCATGACTGCGATGGCGGAGATGACGGACATACTATCTCTTAGTCTCCGTACTCCCAAAAGGGTTGTCTGCTCTGCGTTATGCTCGAGGGCAGGGCTGCTCATCCACCTCGCAGCCATTCTCGGACATGGACGCCAATAACATTTGCCGGATTTGACCCCTAACGATGGCTATCTAATGTTCTAGAATGACTTACCCGGCCCTCAAGCCGTCCCTGCATCGAAGCGAGCCAGGTTGGGTTTGCAATACCATTACGCCACTAGTCCTGGGCACTTCCGAGATTTTGATCTCCCTCCGTGACGCACTTGTACTGTCCATTTCGAGACCTCATTTGAATGCCGAGGGGCTCGCATCATGTCCTCAGTGGTCCAGTTTTCCTCCCAGGTTACTGCCAAGCTGGGTTCGGTTGTCGGCAACACGGCAGAATGCCCCCTTCTTGGGAATCTGGGAATGCTCCAACAAACTCGGAAAAATCGGATGTCATTTATTTAGCCTCATTCTGGATTTCTTGTGACGTGCCATAGCAATGTCCCGGATAATGCTTACTGCCACGTTCTTACTGTTTACATTTATTCCCGTACACATTACTTCCCTTCTCTGTCTTTGCAATTCATGGAACCCTTCCTGCGGGTGCCTAATCTACAGCCGGCAAACCGATGCTACATGTGGGAAAAGGAACCACCAGATTGTCCATGTTGGGCGACACGACGCCGCAGAATGGAGGGCTTCAAATCTGGCTTGTTCCCTGGATTGGGGATCTGCGGCTTGCTCCTCGTCGATCCTGCGTGAGTGCGCTGTCAGCTTTCCAGAACCGCATAGACCTGAACTGGCTGTCGAGACAGAGACCATGAGAACCATCTACGTCGGCCTCGCGGCTGCCCTCTGCTGGACTGGCGCGCTCAGCGCCAGCCCGACAGCAGAAAAGCGAGATGTCGATGCGGCCCTGTCTAGCCGGCGCCGCCTTCTAGCAGCAAGGCACAATGGCCGATCCCGCTACGCCAGCAGCGGCTTCGCCGAACTGGGATTGCGCCAGGCAGATCCCCAATGTGGTCCCCAGGCTGGGAGATGTCCCGGCGATTTGTGTTGCTCCAGCTACGGCTTCTGCGGCGATTCGGTCGACCACTGCCACCCGCTCTTTGACTGTCAGACGCAGTATGGCACTTGCGGGTGGCCGAGGGTGGCTCCTCAGCCGACCACTACCAGCACTTCAACCACGTCAGCTCGGCCCTCTATCACCAGCACCAGCACTACCACGACATCCCGCCCGCCGACGACAACCACGACCTCGTCCATGTCCACGTCGATCAGACCTAGCACCAGCACGACGTCCACCATCCCAATCCCCACGGGCGCTCTCCAAGTCACCACCAACGGGCAGTGCGGCAACAACACCATGTGCATTGGCAACCCCAACTTCGGCCCCTGCTGCTCCCAGTTCTTCTGGTGCGGCTCCTCGCTGGAATACTGCGGCGCCGGCTGCCGGAGCGAGTTTGGCGCCTGCTTAGGCATTCCCGGCCTCCCCGGAAACCCACCCACCAACGGCACTACCACCAGCACCACCACGTCAGGAGGCGGCCCTGTCATCACCAGTACGACGACTCCGCCGGTTAGCACCGCTACCAGCACTACAACGACGAGAGGAGCTACTTCAAGCACCACATCGGCCGCTCCCTCGTTCACTCTGCCGCCCGGTCAGCGGTCTAGCACTGACGGCAGGTGCGGCAATGGCGTCAACTGTCTTGGGTCCACCTTTGGACGGTGCTGCAGCCAGTTTGGGTGGTGCGGCGACGGGGATCAGTTTTGTCCCTACATTGTGGGATGCCAGCCTGAGTTTGGGTATTGTGATCCCCAGTAAACTGTGTGGTTGCCGCTGGTTTCCGGGCATCGATGTCAGCACGCGGGAGAAGGTTAGAATGACGTACTGCCCTCACTGCCCCCATGCATGCAGGCATGGAAGTTGATGACACGGCGCACGAGCATCCTCTTTCCACGGGCAATTAGTGAAGTATCATAGCTAAATAGATTTGTTCCAGAGTTGCGAGTTGACCAAGAGCTGTGAGAGCAGCTATGCATTCAGTGTTGCGTTTGAGATACAGAATGTTGCCGTGTTTATTCGTGGCCGCGTCATCCTTCAATCTTACCTGATTTTCCTTTTTCATCGGAGTTCGTCATAATCACACTTCCAAGCGTGGTATACAGACGGATCACGTCGCATCGAAAGCTCGTCACAAGTGGAGCGAATCCCAGTGCCACATGCACCATATTGCGCTAGGCAGCTGGCTAGGACTGACCAGGCTGACCAGCTCAGACTGTTCGAGATCTCCCTTTGTAGGGGTGATCTGATCACCATGGTTCCAGTCCGTCATAAAGCGTCCGCCGAAGCAAACAAATATTGTTGGAGCTGTTAGTGTATAGTAGTGCACCCTGGCATTGTTTTGAGGGTTAAGACGAGAGTAACTAATTGGAAATCTGGGGCGGTTGGAAAGGCGCTTGTTTGACTTACATGGCCGTTTGAGACTCATGGTTCGTACCGAAGCCTTCTGTAGTCTGCACTTCCTGGTCTTCCAGTGCGTCCAGGCGCATTGCTTCGCGCTACAGCTCCCTCTTCCAGAGGATATCCTTGATTCCGGTGTAGCGCATCTCAATCGTGTCTTTCACCCAATACAGGCCAGAGCCCGAGAGCCGGAGATCGGCAAAATCTGGCTCCATAATGGCATCATGGGTCTCGACCGACAGACCGAAGCGTCCATGAATGCCCGCCACTGAGCATCGCTCTCGTTTGGCGGCGTCGCCCTTGCTCTCCATATATATGTAAACGTCAAATGGTCGTGCCTTAGGATTTAGAGTTGACGCTGGGGAGTGGATGTAGGACGGTAAAAGAAAGTGGGTTGAGAGATTGAAGTGGGGGGGAAACAGTGCTCGATGGGTTGCTCTTTAACGCTTTGCATAAACGCAAGAATATGGACTAGAGGGAACTGTTATAATACAACTATGACGTCGACGCATCGGAGCTGAAAGGTGGGTAAGTCTACCTAAGCAAAGCTTGAGCAAAGACTGAGCCGGCCATGACGCCAGATTTGTAGACGTTAGCTGCATCTATGAACCTTAGAGCAACAGGAACCGCAGCATACGGACCTACCTAACTAAACACTACGCACTCTGGTGTGGACCGGGCGTTGACCTCTCCTAGCCTCGCCAATGCACCCCGGAGTGGTGCCAGACACGATGTTGAAAGAATCCGAGCATATGGCCGCGAAGAACAAAATGAACAAAGTCGATCATGCAGGACTATCTGTTGGCTCGGTGATGAGGGGGGGCCGGCACCAGAACCTTAACTCAAGCACAAGGTACCTTACCTATCATCATGAGGCGTTGGGATGTCCTAGAGAGTTCAGTCAAGATACGCAGATGTACAACCGGGTTTTCCCTGCGCCTTCATCGTCAAGAGCCTAGTGCATCACTCTAGTTTACTCAGCGCTTCCATGTCTCGTCTCCATTGCTTCTTGACCTCACCAAGCAGCCCAGGCCTTGCCAGCACATCCACAGCCGTCCCTGCGAGCGCCTTTCCTACTCTCAACGCCCTCATGAAGGCCGACTTGGTCCCTGCCGCCATCTTAAAATCTGGACTATGCGGTTGTCCTGCCTTCGGACCAGGGGGAATGGCAAAGCTCGCATTGACACTAGGCATGATATGGCTGATGTTGCCTTGATCCGTGCTCGACTTCACCCAGGTAAACCGCTGGTCCCCGCAGCCTGGCGGCTGGATCGGAGGATCGGGCAGGTCTGGCAGCGAATCCCAGTACTTTGTGTAGGATGCCGCGAGAACTCTGTTGGGGAAGTGGTCTTGGTATCCTGGAGTGATCCTCAATTTGATCATCGCGCCGGTGGCCTCGGCTCCGGCTCGAAAACAAGCGCTGACCTTTTCTTGGAGGTCATGAAGTCGAGAGGCACTGTTGGCGCGGATCACGCAGACGCAAGCAGCATACGCGTGGATAATGTTGGTGGCTTCCTCTCCGCCATCGGTAATGGCCAGGCCAATGACATCTCCTGGCATGGTCTGCTGGCGCAAGACCGATACGGCATTGTAGGAGACGACAAGGGCATCGAGGGCATTGATGCCCATCCACGGATTCTTGGCCCCGTGAGCAGCACGTCCAAAGTATTCGACCCCGAGGCGGGCAAATGCGGTTGTCCGGACAAGAGGGCTGTTGTGCAGGATTCCAGGGTGCGAGATCAGAGAGACGTCGACTCCTTTGTATGCTCCGCGCTCCATGAGGCGAATCTTGCCACCGCCAAAGCCTTCCTCTCCCGGCGTGCCAAAGATGAGAACCTTCCCGACAAGCTTGTATCGTCGCATCATCTCCGCCGTTGCTAAGCCAGCAGCCATGGAGGCAGTAGCGATCAGATTATGCCCGCAGGCGTGGCCCAAATTGGGGAGTGCGTCTGACGTGACACTTTGTTACCATCTTGCTGCTTGAGTTTAATGGTGAGGTCTCAAGTTACATACCCATTTCAACGTTGAAAGAGACGGCCGGCCCCGGTTTACCACTATCGAAGACTGCTATCCATGCGGTTTCCATTCCACAGGCCGAACCTGTTACCTGCCATCCTTCCTCTCGCGATCGCAAGAAGTCTGTCAGGGCCTGGTGTGCCTTGTACTCCTGGAACGCCAGCTCTGGGTTTGCGTGAATGAAGGCGTTCAACGTCCAAAGTGAATCCCAAAGACTCTCGATGTAGCTCTCAATGTCTGTCAGGTACTCGGGCGAGTGTTTGTCTTCCTTGGTCTCAATGCGATGCAAACCACATTCAATATCATCTCTGGAAACTAGGATGTAGCCCTCGTCTTCCATTCCGAGTTTCACGTTATGTCGACCGGGCTTTAGATTTCAGACTTCCTTTGAGCTCAGCTAAAAGAATCAACGTTGCTGGCGAGGTGTCAGCTCAGGGTGGAATGGTGGACCGGTTAATGTTAACTGGGACCCAGCCGTGCATATTGCCTCCCGGAATCAGGTGCTTCCGTTATATTATTTCTGGATAAGCACTGCCGTTTGTCCCGGCAGTTGGGAAAGGGGCTTGCAGCTCGTGCCCAAGACAACACAGCACTTAAACACACCATTGATAGCCAGACAACGCTCGGTACTTGTAAACAACAACAAGTCGCAGCAAAAAGCTCTATTCCCGGCATGCAAGAAGCTGCTGTCACGCTTAACAATAACGATGATTCAGAAGCTGCCCGGAAACACCATGTAGCTACCACGCTCAACTATTGGGACGATCCGGGAGACGGCTCCCTCCCAACTCCCATCTTCATCGGCCGGGGCAGAGTCACAAACAACCGCCCACACCGCGCTCATGAGTTTATGATAAACGACATAACCGGCGAGGAGCACCAGTATTCCCTCGACAAGCATGGTTTTCAATACTGTCGACACGAAAGCAGCGAGAAGGAATTCATCGATGAGCAAGCCATTCGATCCATCTACTACGAGGAGTGCAAATCTCTGTTGAAACTCGTGACAGGCGCAAGCCGCATCCACATCTTCAACCACAAAGTCCGCCGGGGCCCGACGCAGTGGCACCATCTAGGCTTGCATGGAAAGAATCTCGCAAATCGGGGGCCGGTTACCAGAACACACGTAGACCAGTCCTACGTGGGGGCGGAGCTTAGGCTCAGATGGGAGTTTCCCAACCCAAAAGAAGCCGACGAGCTGCTCAGGGGGAGGTACCAAATCATCAACATCTGGCGGCCAATCGCGATTATTCTCAAAGATCCGATTGCGGTGGCCGACGCCAACTCGGTTCCGGACTCGGACCTTGTCGGCGCCCGCATGGTGGAAGACGACTTTGAGGGGGAGTCTTGGGTAGTCCGGCACAATCCGAACCATCGGTGGCACTTCAAGTACCGGATGACGCCTCAGGACGTGCTTTTTATTAAGTGCTTCGACTCAGAGACGTCCGTGGCGCGCAGGGCGCTGCACTCGGCGTTCGAAGACCTGGCTCACCGAGATGAGGTATCCCGGCAAAGCATCGAGGTCAGGTGCCTGGTCTTATATTGAGAGAGACACGGAAAAATGTATGGGTTTTTCATTTTCCTCTTTAAATCGGAAGAGTAGTACTTCAAAGGTACTGCAATACAAATTGTTTGGGAACAAAGCTAGCCCCTGAAATGTTCTGAGAGAGCCATTCTGAGCGCCCAAGAAACTCGCCGAATCGGTACTTAGATTGTTGCCTGTAGATGCAATGCATGCTTCCCACTATTCTTAAGGGATTATTGTTTCCCATGCTCCTGACCATACAAATTGCCTCAAGGCGTGCGGGGAGCTTATGAGTTACAACCGGCAAAGAGGCTCAATAAGTGATGAGTGGAGAGCAACCGCTCTAGATTATCACAATGCGACACCCCTCACAGGTCTACGAGAAACCAAGCGCGGGGCGCAATAACTAGCTCAATATCTCTAAGGTCCTTGAAGAACAGTGGTACCAACTGCCGGTTTTGAGTAGATCATGGTTGACATCAATTGATCATGAGGAATGATGATCCTGAGCATGTCGTTGATCATTAGTGAACGGTGGGTAGGAAAAACGTCTTCCATATATACCCATGTTTTTCGCCTTGTCGTGGCTCATTCCCATTTTTCAGCTGAAATCTTCCTTACCCGCACATCCACGCAAGAGTTCCTCGAGTGTGATCATGGCCTCAGTCTCTGAAGTTCCGCAAACAGTCGAATGGCAGGGCAAGCAGGTCCCCGTCTGGTCCATGAGGACCATCGACTACGGTCTTGTGCTCTCACAGGATCCCGATGAGGTAGAAAAGGTGACCAAGGCCTGTCTCGAGGACGGGTACTTCCAGCTCGACCTCAACGGCATCGACGGCCGCGGCATGCTCGAGGACCGCCAAGAGGTTCTCAAGCTGATGCATCGCTTCTTCGAGGCGCCGCTCGAGGCCAAGAACGAGTACGGCCTGATTGATTCCCATCTCGGCTACGAGCCGGTCGGCAACCGAACGGGTGCCTTTGGGGCGGGCACCAAGGATGGGTACGAGATGCTCAAGGTGTCGCGAGACGAGATCCAGCAAGGCAGCCCCAGAGTGCCGTCACCCATCAAGAACAGCGGCGATCTGCACATTCTGGAGCGGGCGATTGGCAGCTGCAACACGGTCACCAAGGTCATCCTCTCGGCCCTGTCTACCGGTATGGGCCTCGCCGGGGCCGAGCGCTTCGAGAAGTCGCACCGCAACGACCGGCCCTCGACCACGACGCTGTCCATGATGCACTACCTCCCGGCCGAAGTGACGGGCCAGAGCAAGATCGGGCACCAGAAGCACACCGACATCAGTTCGCTGACGCTGCTCTTTAGCGACCAGTGGGGCCTTCAGATCCGGCCCCCCGGCGAGTGCGGCGCGCGCGAGATGGGCTTCGTCGAGCCCAAACCCGGTTGCGCCTTTGTGCACGTCGGCGACTCGCTGCGGTTCGCCAGCGGCATGAAGTTCCAGTCGTGCATCCACCGCGTGGTACCCTTCGACCCGGCCGAACACCGCTACTCGATCGCCTACTTCCTCCGGGCCGAGGACGATACCATGTTCATGGACAGCGAGGGCCGCTACGTGACGGCCAAGGAGTGGCACGACCAAAAGTTCAAGGCCTTTACCGACCCGCCCGTGTGGCAGGCCATGGCGCCCAAGTCCATGATCCTTGGCGGCATGAAGGAGGATGGAGCTGACGACCGCGAGCCTGTGGCCCCCTTTGTCCCTGAAGTTTCCAAGGAGACGGCAGTTCAGGCATAAGGCCCCTGCGTACATGCATCCGTCAGCGGTTTCAAACAGGGCCCGCTTAACTCTCTGCTGTACTTGACTCCTTATTTCACTCGCTAGCGTCGGCCTATCTCAGTTTAGGGGTAGCAGTTGTTCTCTAGGTCCAATTCAATCCAGAGCAGCAAGATGAACCACCATGAGATCTACCTTCAATCAACCCTCCACAGCTCACCCTTCTCCTGAGCCTCGGCCACAAGCTTGTTGTAAATGGCCACCTTCTCCTCGTACTCACGCACCAGATCGTCATCACGCTTGCCCTGGGTGCTCCCACCGAATGCCCTCACAGCGGCATAGTAAACATCGGCGAGGGCTTCACACACCCCCCTCGCACTAGCCGAGCGGCATTGATAATACAAACTATGAACCAGAATTCAATGTTAGTTCCAAGATCGAGAGAACCGGGAGGGGCAGCTGACTCGGTCTTGAAGTTGTCGTCGATTCTCAACTTCCCGGCATCCGTGAACCTGTTCTGGTTCTTGTAGTTGCGGTACCCAAAATCGTGGCGATGGCAAGCGGGGATAAAGGAGAAGCCGAACGGGTTATCCGGGGACGAACTGCACCCGTCCGAGTCCCAGATCAGAGTGGGCGGGTCGCGGGCGTTTCGCTTGGAAGTGAAGGCGGGAAGGGTGATGCTGTAGAGATACTGGTCGGTGATCTGGCTGGCTGTTTGCCGCTGGACCAGAGAGGATGCATCTGCCTCGCCTTGGGTGGGGAAGCCCAGCACCGTCGAGGCCAGGAAAAGAATGCTCAAGGAGAACTTCATGCTGAAGGAGGGTGAGGCAGAGCTCGGCGTCTGCACGACTGAGGAGACTGAGCAGTAATGTCCACATCATGCGTCCGGACTAGACCATCTGCTGATAGATGCTATATAGATGAATGCTAGAGGCCAAAAGCCCTCTTCCCGTCCCGAGACTTCGAAGCGCCATTCCTGAGCTGGACACCGAGGGGACGAAGCTCAGAGATGCCAGCTGGCGGTTCAAGGAGACATGGCCAACAGCGCCGCAGCAACCTGCCCTTTGAAGAAAGGCTGACCGGCGATCTGAGCATGACATTCCGCGATGAGACCCTAGGCGGACACTGGGTCGCATCTGCCGCTGCCGGAACCTGAGGATTGAACGGTTTAAAAGTTGGTAAGGACCAAGTCGGCGACCCGTCAGATGGCACACTCCAACCACGCCCAAACCTGGCAGGAATGTCGATCACCATGTTCTCCGTAGGCATGTTCGAGGGACAGTGGAAGGTGCAGGCAATGGTTGGCTCTCGTTGATCTGGGCCTTTCTCGCCAAGACGACGCGGTTGTTGCAGCCGACAGATGCACCATGCATGCTGTTTACTTCGGAAGGACTTGAAGACGTAAGAAATCCGAGACTTACCCCGCAGTAAACCTTAATCCAAAAAACAGCGTAGCTGCAGCACGTGATGACGTATAACTGAAACTCCCTTGTCATCCGTAAGTCGCACTCATTCCGAAATGCTGACGGGCGGAATTTAGCTTTGCTGACTGCCAAGTCGGGGCAAGTTACAGTACGTAAGGAGTCGAGAGAGTTTCCATTACCATTCTTGGCACATCCCACCTCCGCACTTGCAAAAGAGAAGGTAGCATTCCAGCTCGCGAACTTGCTTCCTATTCCGTCCAGCCAACCACCCAGAACGACAAGCTTCGCCACTCGACAGCGCAGCATGGTACCGGGCGTTTTTGATCAGCAACGAGCCCGGCTAACCCCGGCCGTGGTGCGCGACGGATATTACGACCTTGGGAATTTCCGTATGCCCGTCACAACCGCAAGCGACGAGGTTCAAACATGGTTCAGCCGCGGACTTGTCTGGTGCTACGCCTTCAACCACGAAGAAGCCGTCAGATGCTTCGAACGCGCCGCCGCCCAGGACCCGGCCTGTGCCATGGCTTATTGGGGGATGGCCTACGCCCTCGGCCCCAATTACAACAAGCCGTGGGGCATCTTTGACGACGGCGAGCTAGAGCGCAACACCCAACAAGCGAGGCGGGCCCTGGTGCAAGCTCTTGGAAGAGCATCTGCAGCAACACCAGTCGAGCGCGCCCTCATCCATGCCCTGCAGCATCGCCATCCGGAAGAGCGCGTCACCGCCGCCCAGGGGTACACGCTCAATCATGCATACGCAGCCGCTATGGAACAAGTCTATTTAAAACATTCAGATGACCCGAATGTTACGGCCATTTACGTCGACGCCTTGATGAACTTGAATCCGTGGCAGCTCTGGGACGTGCGGACTGGGGAACCAGTCAAGGGGGCGCGCACCTTGGATGCTCGAGCCGCCCTGGAAAGGGGGTTGGCCAAGCATCCAGACCATCCTGGCATGCTCCATCTGTACATCCACCTGATGGAGATGTCCAGCCACCCCGAAGTGGCACTGAAAGCCGCTGACAGCCTGCGGGGCCTGGTCCCCGACGCGGGCCATCTCAACCACATGCCCACGCACATCGACATCCTCGTTGGAGACTACCGGCGGGCCGTCTCGTCCAACACCGAGGCTATCAAGGCCGACACCAAGTTCGTCAGCAGAGACGGCGCCATCAACTTCTACAGCCTCTACCGCTGCCACAACTACCACTTCCGCATCTACGCCGCCATGTTTGCCGGGCAATCTGCCGTGGCCCTCGAGACGGCCTCACTTCTCGAGCAGACGCTGCCAGAGGCTCTCCTCCGCATCCAATCCCCCCCGATGGCAGATTGGCTCGAGGGGTTTCTATCCATGCGAATTCACATCTTGATCCGCTTTGGCCGCTGGCAAGACATCATCGATCTCACCTTCCCCCGCGACAGGGACCTCTACTGCACGACAACGGCCATGATTTACTATGCTAAAGGCGTTGCCCTGGCCAACACGGGACGAACCCCTGAGGCTGACCGCACCAAGCTGCTTTTCCAGGAGGCCGTCAAGCGAGTCCCTTCTTCCCGAACAATCTTCAACAACAGCTGCCGTGACATCCTCGCCATCGCCGCGGCCATGCTAGACGGCGAGCTGGAATACCGTCGGGGCAACATCGACCTCGGCCTCGACCATCTCGCGCGGGCCATCGACCTCGACGATTCGCTCCCCTACGACGAGCCATGGGGCTGGATGCAGCCCACCCGGCACGCGTACGGTGCCCTTCTCATGGAGCTCGGCCGCCTCGAGGAAGCCCTGGCCGTCTACACGGCCGACCTGGGGTTCGATAGCACGCTGCCCCGGGCGCAGCAGCACCGGAACAACGTGTGGGCGCTGCATGGGCTGCACGAGTGTCTGACGCGCCTGGGCCGCGAGAGGGAGGCTCGTGTCGTCCGGCCGCAGCTCCAGCTTGCTTTGGCCATCGCCGACGTTCCCGTCAAGTCGTCGTGCTTTTGCCGGCGCAATAATGGGCGCCTGTGAGCGAAGCCAATCTCCAGCGGCTTCATATCCGGGCCTGCAGCGCGCATGTGTTCATTCTCAGATTATCGTTACATTTCATTTGAAGAGTAGAACCGTACAGGTATACCATAGTTGTTGCTTTAGTGGCTTGTTGGTACCTGTCCACCCTGTGCCTCTTAACCAGTTACTATCTCGCCAAATGGTCCGAGTCTCAGGCTTGGTTTGGATTATATATCAATTGCCCCTTGGCTCGGCATGTCATGAGATTTCCATCGCGTGTCAGCATTGAACGCTGTCCCACTTTCCCAGCCTCATGCCTGGAGCATGAGCCATATCCCTCTAACCGTGTGTATCCCAGTACTCCTCAAGAACCTCGTGCACCTCATCGACATTGTTATACGGCTCCAGGCTTGCCATGAATTGGACCTTTTCTGTGATGGCAGCGGGTGTGAACTTTGCAGCCGTCACGGCTTCGGCACGCCATCGACCTTCCATCGGGTCACGGAATGCCGTCTCGTTGTATCCGAGATCGAGCAGTGCCGTGACATTGAAAGCGGCCATCATCTCATGCTGCCGAAGGGACTGTTCAGCGAGTGGCCCCCATGTAAAGGGGGGTTTGGGGGATTTCGAAATCTAGAATTGGAGGTACGACTGGACACTTACATCTTCATGGATGAGATTGTGGCAGTGAAACATGTAGACGCCGTCCCAGGGAGCATAATGGGCCTCGACCCTGACAGTCTCGCCAGGGCCCAGCCAGACGACGTCTTTGAGCCCCATGGTTTCGTACTCGTAAAGGGGCCGGTCACCGTTGGTTCGGGACAAGACCTTGAAGTCGACAAGATGGATGTGAATCGGATGGCTCCAGCCGCCGCTGCTGTTCTCGAGCTCCCACACCTCGACTGTGCCCCTGGGCACATTGGCCAGCACGCGGTTGGCCATGTCGGCGAAGACAACGCCGTTGATCTGCCATTGACTGTTGGACCGATGGAACAAAAACTCATGGTCGACCCCGGGCCCGGCTGGGGACGGCCAGTGGACCGTTGCCAGGGTCGAAGGAACCGCGCTGGGGTCCGCCACGGGAGTGCCAGAGACAACAAAACGCATAACCTTGCCAGTGTGCAGGTAGTCCTCATCATCGCCAACGTCCTCTGTGTTTCGCAAAGTGATGTTCTGGCCAGCAAGAGGGGAAAAGTCAAAGACAACCTCGTACCGCTCGCCCATGGAGAGGTACAGCTCAGACGCTGCGACAGGAGCCGCGAGCAATCCCGAGTCCGATGCGATGACCTGGAAGGGTATCTTCGCCGTGGATCCGGATTGGCGTTGGAAGTACAGCAGAAATGTGCGCGAGACGGACACGTCGAGAAAACGAAGCCGGTATTTGCGCGGTTGGACGTTGAAGAACGGCCACGGCTGGCCGTTGACTTGAATGATATCCCCATACAGGGAGTCATCCTCGGAAGCCGGGCTAAATAATGTGCCGTCGCTCTTGTACTGCTTGGACGCGAGAATGAGGGGGATATCAAACTGGCCGTAACCAGATGGTAGGCCGAGCGCATCTTCGGCGGCATCGTGAATGATATAACCGCCTGCCTGGCCTGAACAAGAAAAGCCGTATTAGCTGGCTACCTGGACCAGTTGATCGATCGACGAGTGCATTGCTCTAGTTCGAGCCACTCTTCTAGCACCTACAGAAATACGCATTCTCGGCAGCCTGGGGGCTCGTTAATCAGCAGGTACTCTACACATGTGATTGTCCCCAAGGCTGAACATTGCCACAGCGGCATCACTGCAGTACTCACATGCTCAATGGCGTGGTCGTGATACCACGAGAAACGAGCGCTCTGACTGTTGGGGTAGTAGTAATCCTTGAACTGAAGAGGCTCGATGACATCTTGAGCCCAGCCATCCCAGAGGGCCCGCTGATGAGGTGTAGTCCCATGTTAAAAATAGATGTCACAGAGTTTGAACGACGAGAATGAGCATGACGGGACCCTTACCGAGTATGAACCATGCAGATGGACAGCGCTGGCCATAGTTGCGTTGTTGATGAAGCGCACAACCGTTTCCCGGCCCCTCTGATTAGGAAGGTCGGGCCAGGAGACATTCCGTCATAGCCAACGAGGACGGCATTGTCCTTGTTGGGATAGACCTTCTGTGTAAACTGGTTGATGTAAACCTGGTAGTAGTCAATCGGGTTGCCTGTGACAGGGTTCGTAATAGTCCTGTGTCTCGTTAGAACCCCTCAAGCCGGGGAAAGACAGTGGACTTCGAGAGAGTCGGTCTCACATAGCCGGGGTCTTGACAGGTGGGATCGGAAGCGAAAACTGGTAAAGCCACGTGTACTGTGGGCTTTCCTAATCCTTTCGGGCAACAAGGTTTGGGCCGCCCGTATCAGGAATGGCTGACCTTGAGCCCAAGACAGAATAGAAAAGCCGAAGAGTAACGGCCTTCTCGAGCACAACCATGGCTGCTTTGGCCGCGACGACGTAGAGGTGAATGTGGGGGCGACTTGAACAAGCAGAGCACTAAAGTACCTCATCTGGGATGAAGCAGACAAAAGGCCTCTGTATTTATGATTGGCCATGATGATCAATTCACCCCTTTCATGCCGGAGTCTCATGGGTCGACCTCGAGCATCCACACAAATACTCGGTCCCTTGCCGAACATCCGAACCACAATCCCGTGTCTAGGCGGTAAAGAAGCAACTCTGGATGGTTTTACCGCGAGTCCAGAGTCATTTCTTTGGCCCATTGGTTCCTGGGATCCCAAATCTGCAGCTATGCTCGAGATCAAGGCTCAGACCATCATACAGGAGCTGAAACCGCGGTTCATGGAAAGCCACGAACGGAGCTATTGTCAAAGTCTGTGAACCCAATGAAAAAATTGCATGATCATTTGATGTCGCGTGCGAAAAAGATGCGGATGGCGGGACCACTGTGAAGTGAGCAATTCTCCAATTGCATAGGGCCAGCAGTCCTAAGTCCGTTCGGCATCGGAGGCGCTCATGGAGGAAATCCTCCCCCTGGGCCCTGACGAGGCGGTTTTGTCCAAACATGAAGCGGGAGGAGCCCTGTATGCACGTCTTGCAGAAGTATGCACATGCACCTTGACTACATCTGGCAAACTATTGAACACGCCTCCTGCATAGCGGCAGAGGCAAGCGCCCACTCTGCAAGGCAAGACGAACCGACACAATAAGCCAAGGCCCGCGTATACTGTTGCCAACCTATACTTTATGCCGCTTGATGAATAACGAGCTTGATGTAAGTGGAAATGATTTACTTTCTTGAAGAAGAGCAACATAACTATAACGGGTCAGTTGAAGCCGTGAAACGCATTCCTTCAGCGAGCACCGCCCCTCTTTGCCAGTGTAATATCTCCAGGACCCTACTACACTTTTCCAGTAACATAGATTTAACAAGTTCCATCCTGTTGTATCAACCAAGATAAGAATTAAAGGATTATCCCAGAATCAAGTACCGACGTGCTGTTCCTCATCCCCGGACGCGTCCCCATCATCGCATTGGGCACCGTCCGTGAATTCCGCGCTCTCCAGACCCTTGCTACGGATAGCATATGAACCCACCCACCCCAAGAGCGTGATACCGGCAAAGAGACCCCATGCAAGTGCCTCCCCTTTCAGCCTCACCCTTGTCGAGACGGTGAAGAGCCCGCCAGACAGAAGGGGCCCGAAACTGCGGCCAGCTGCCGAGAGGGTCTGGGCCATGCCGTTGAGCGTGCCCAGGGTTTCGTGCGAGGGCGCAGAGTTGGTGATCTCAGAACCAGTTAGCAACCCCGCATGGAACAGAAGGCGACATGGAACAGAAGGCAACATGGAACAGTAGGCGACATGGAACAGAAGGCGACATGGAACAGTTAGGACATACCAAGAGCATAACACTGCTGAGACCACCAACGGCACAGATGTTTTTCAGGATCAAGGCGACACCCAACTCGCCGTACAGCCAGGCCTTGCCTGTTCCCAATCCAATCACTGGCTTGCTGTCAACATAACCGATCCATGGCATGAGCGCCATGCTGATAGCCATGCCCAAAAGCGAGTACCGATAAGTTCCCAGGTTTCCCATGCGCGATTTGAGCTTTTGGAAGATGGACAGCTGAAACAGGATCGTAGCCAGACCAGCCAGCGAGAGACTGACGCCGATTGTGCCAGGGCCCAGGTTGCGACCTGTGGGCGGTGGTGCCGCGGCGAATATGGGGTAGAGCGAGTTGAAAGAAATGTTGGCGAGTTGAAACACAAGATACGTGCCAAGGACTGCGATGGTGTTGCGGTTTCGCAATGGCTGGAAACCTGAGATGTAGTGCTCGGGGTCCATCTTGCTGTCACCACCTTCCTCACCCGCACTCGCCTCCGACCCGAGCAGCGGCTGTCTTCCATCAGCAGAGTCAGAGTCTGAGGACTCGTTCCCGCTGTTGGAGTAATCGTCCGAGCCCTCCGAACCGTTGCCGAGTGGGGGTGACATCCGTTTTCCTTTCCCCCGCGACGACGCTTCGCTGGACAGGCCGAGTCGTGCTGCGCACCAGTTCCTCGCCCTCTTCAACCCGTCCCAAGCCGGACCCGCAGCAGAATGGTCGCCGCCATCAAGCGTCTCCTCAAACCAAATAGCCAGGACAACGACGCTGGAAAGCAGAAGCGCCGCAACGAAGACATTCGGAGCCAGGAATGGGTACTTAGCGCCACCGGCAATTCCGACCAGCAGACCACCGAGGGCGGGCCCCGTAATGCTCCCGAGGCTGTAGATGACGGGCAGCCAGGTGAAAGCGCTGCTCTGGTTGGTGCGGTCCGTTAGCTCGCCCAAGCATGTCGGCACAATGGCTGCGTTGCCGTTCAGGAGGCCCATGGCGATATGCACCATGAGCAGCTGGACATATGTCTTGCAAAGGCCAAAGAAGACGAAGCACGCCATGAGCAGAGACGTGCCAAGTAGCATGGTGGGCTTTCTTCCAACGCGATCCGACAAGTATCCCCACAGCAAATTCGTAGCCAGCTGCGCGAGAGCAAAGGCCGAGGCCAACAGTCCCACATACAGGCCTTCCTGACCGACCGGGATCTCGTCGAACGAGGCCACCATGGTCGGCAGGTATGGGCCTATCGAATTGAGCGCTGTTTGTTCGGCCAGGGAGAGCAGAGCGAGCAGGCCGAGAGCTGTCCATGGCAGTGGAGTTGCGTGCTCATCTTCGGAATGATCATGATCACTCCTCCTCCCGCCGGGCGGATGTTGCGTGCTGCCGCCGCGCGCGCCATCGGCCTCAAGGTGCTGGTTCTCGTCGGGCGGTCGGAACAGTCGGATATACCATGGGCGACGCTCCCGGGGGGACTGTTGCCCGTCGTAGGGTGTAGCGGGTGGGGGGGTCGGAAAGGTGTGATATTTGGGGGTCGACTGCCGGCGGAGCAGACGTCGAGTTTCTGCTGTGGGAGGTCTCCGGGGTCGGCTTCTGCTCGCTATGGAGTCGCTGTAGGAGAAATTGAACGGCTCTCCTGCGTGGAAAGATCCCGAGGCGCGAGAGCGGCGGGAACGAGAGAGACTCGGCCGTGACGCATTTGCTGTGGCTGCGCTTGCGGCAGCGTGGACCGGCGGCACCATCGCGCTACTCGGAGGAAGGGAGGAAATTAATGTGCGCAAGAGGCGCACAATTCAGAATGTATATCTACTGCAAGAGTTGACTCATCAGGTGCCGGCTCGTTTCCTGGCGGTTTTGTTGCGAGCTTTGTCGCGGTTGCGTTGTGTTTCTTGCCCGCAGTGCCGCTCGGGAGCGGCAATGGAGGGGCTTATCGGGGGGCCGTTGCGACTAACTAATGGGAGAGTGATGTCATTGCAACCCCGGGCCCCATGTCTCAGGTTCTGGGCCCTTGCAGAGATCTCCCCGACATTAATATTGATGAACGGCTTTCAAAATCACCTTTCACCTCAAGGTAGTTCTTGCCGCGACCATAAGGTAAGGTCTTATCAATTGTGAGCGCGTTTGGCATGCTCTTGCGCACATTCAATGTCTACGATCCTAAGATATGAAGTTGTAGGTTTGGAGCCGAAGTTTGAATATGGGTGCCGGTCACTTTCCCAGCCTGCCTCTCCTGCGGCGGGCAAGAGGGTAGTCTAGGTGTCGGAAGCCCAGGCCATCGATTATATCCGGAGTGATCCCCTCCTCGACATCATGATGGGAGACATACGCGGCGTAGTGTGATACTTCACGTCGGGTCGGGGGGCAGACTATACCGCGTACATAATGTAGCCCTAACCCTGACATTTGTTTTAACCCTGACATTTGTTTTAACCCTGACATTTGTTTTAACCCTGACATTTGTTTTAACCCTGACA